GCCCACCCGCCCGCCCGCTCACGTGATAACATAATACGTCCCCGTCTTCGACGGGCGTATAAAAAATACCAAAGGCGTTGGATTTTGCATGACCATATTAGGGACAGTCTGATTGGGGGTCCATATCAAAAGAACCATACAGGTTTCATAAACCAGATAATAATAACAAACAGCAGGTAAAAATTGACGTTTTATCTATATATTCATTACAGCAGACAAATCAACGACGAATGATAGAAACAAATGTGCTCATAACTTGATAATGTGATACCTTATATAGAAATAAATTTTGAAAATATAAACTCTATAATTATATGAAAGAGCAACAATTATAAGATACGCTCTGACTTGCATTTGCACATGTTGAATTCATGTTGATAACAGTTATACATTTATGAAATACTGTGTTAAATGTATAAACATACATCATAACCTATGATTCATTTGGCTGAACATGTAAAGGTTTAAACAAATAATCAGAAAAAAACTCAACCTAACATTGATCATTACATAGGAAAACTTCAAATACAAACATATATTTGACTACCAGGGTATCTGTAAATAAATAAACAGGGTAAGATTAGCATGTGTTTTATCGATAAAGACAGTACGAATAAATGCACGTCTTACACAATGATATGGTGGACCAAGACTAGTTATCACAGGCTGAAGGGATCTCGGTACAAACAACTCTCGAACATCTCAACGACAGCACTTCAACGTCACAGCTAAATACTAAGAACCCTTATAGTGTGTCAACACCATAGCTAGGAATCTAGACAGGCAGGTTTATCAACATCACAGCTACAGATGCAAACACTGGTGTGTTGACATCACGGCTACAGGTATTGACACCGATCTGTGAGCAAGTCTCACGGCGAACGATCTCGACACAGTGTGTCAAAAATATTCACAGGTACAGATCATGACACCGAGGACACTTGTTCAGCTACACTTAGCACGGTACCTTAGTTTGAACACATGACATAAAGTAAGTTCCAATAAATAAATAATATGTTCAAACTGAAGAGAAAAAAAAGTAAAATAAAATAAATAAGAGATTATTAAGGTATAGAAAGTATTTCAACTTAAACACAAAACGTTTTTCCAGTAGAAGATATGTACATTACAAAATTAATAATTATGCATTAGGGTTATGATATCAAGTACATTAACAATCTAACACACTAGATGTTACAACTCCTTATGTTAGCTCACTAATGATCTAACATACTAGATGTTACAACTCCTTATGTTAGCTCACTAATGATCTAACACACTAGATGTTACAACTCCTTATGTTAGCTAGCTAATGATCTAACACACTAGATGTTACAACTCCTTATGTTAGCTCACTAATGATCTAACACACTAGATGTTACAACTCCTTATGTTAGCTCACTAATGATCTAACACACTAGATGTTACAACTCCTTATGTTAGCTCACTAATGATCTAACACACTAGATGTTACAACTCCTTATGTTAGCTCACTAATGATCTAACACACTAGATGTTACAACTCCTTATGTTAGCTCACTAATGATCTAACACACTAGATGTTACAACTCC